ACAATTTATGAAATTCAAAGGACACTTTAACCTTCTCAGTGCTTCAAAAATAATACAATTTTACCTTGAATTGAAGAGTCAGAAGAAACTAAGAGTTCAAAATCACAAATTCCTTTTCTAATTTATTATCACATTGCTTTGTAGATACTTAGGTACTCATTAACTCTCTTGTTGGACATGTTTGAAAGATGGGGCAAAAATCTGTCTGTGTTTCCAGGGCCCACCCAGGAGCCTTGCACGCACTCTGGGCTCAGTGAATGTTTACAGAGGAAATCAGTGAATGAGCTGCAGAGTGGCTCCCTCAAGCACATGCGATGTTCTTTCTGGGTGTCTGTCCCATTCACTGCACACTATTGCTCATTGTGTGCGCGCGCGTGTGCATGTTATATTTTTTACTCTTCTCCTTGCAGAACAGGAGCTCTCTGGCAAAGCTGTTCTGTGAAGGCAGAACAGTGGCCCCGGGGTGGGCAGTGCTAATCCCGGCCGTCTGTGCCTATGTTTCCCCGCAGAGCAAAGGACCTCTGCAGACCTGATTAAGTTAAGGACCTTGAGATAGGAGGTGATCCTGGGTTATTTGGGTGGGCCCAAGGCGGTCCCAAGGGTCCTTAAACACGGGAGAGGGAGGCAGCAGAGGAAGCGAGAGCGATGCCCTGCGTGGATCCCATCACCAGGCTGCTGTGAGGCCGGAGGAAGGGCCACAGCTGAGAGGTGCCAGCAGCCCCTGGAGGCAGGGCCACAGCTGAGAGGTGCCAGCAGCCCCTGGAGGCAGGGCCACAGCTGAGAGGTGCCAGCAGCCCCTGGAGGCAGGGCCACAGCTGAGAGGTGCCAGCAGCCCCTGGAGGCAGGGCCACAGCTGAGAGGTGCCAGCAGCCCCTGGAGGCAGGGCCACAGCTGAGAGGTGCCAGCAGCCCCTGGAGGCAGGGCCACAGCTGAGAGGTGCCAGCAGCCCCTGGAGGCAGGGCCACAGCTGAGAGGTGCCAGCAGCCCCTGGAGGCAGGGCCACAGCTGAGAGGTGCCAGCAGCCCCTGGAGGCAGGGCCACAGCTGAGAGGTGCCAGCAGCCCCTGGAGGCAGGGCCACAGCTGAGAGGTGCCAGCAGCCCCTGGAGGCAGGGCCACAGCTGAGAGGTGCCAGCAGCCCCTGGAGGCAGGGCCACAGCTGAGAGGTGCCAGCAGCCCCTGGAGGCAGGGCCACAGCTGAGAGGTGCCAGCAGCCCCTGGAGGCAGGGCCACAGCTGAGAGGTGCCAGCAGCCCCTGGAGGCAGGGCCACAGCTGAGAGGTGCCAGCAGCCCCTGGAGGCAGGGCCACAGCTGAGAGGTGCCAGCAGCCCCTGGAGGCAGGGCCACAGCTGAGAGGTGCCAGCAGCCCCTGGAGGCAGGGCCACAGCTGAGAGGTGCCAGCAGCCCCTAGGTGCTGAAAGAAGCAGCAAGCGGGTTCTCCCCGGAGCCTCTAGAGAGGAAGGCAGCCCCGCCGACACCTCATAGCCCAGCAAGGCCCGCATCAGATTGTCAGAACACTGTGTCAAATAAACGAATAGAGTTCAAGCCGCCGAGTTAGTGACCCTTTGTTACAGTGGCCTTAGGAAACTATTCCCGCCGCTGACCCCCCCTTGTCTCCCTTTCAGCTTCTGACACAGTCCTGTCTTTTGCAGATTCCCATGCTCCTCACTTTATGTCCACCCTGGAACAGGGCGTGGATCAGGGTGCCTCTGTTTGCAAAGAACAGGAAGCTGATACCAACTCATTCAAACAAAACCTTTTTTAAGTTTTTCTTTATTGATTTGAGAGAGAGAAACAAACAGTGATTTCTTGCCCCACCCATTTATGCATTCATTGGTTGGTTCTTGTACGTGCTTGCCTGGCCCCCCCTGCCATTCTTGAACCCACAACCTTGGTGTATTGGGGCGACTCTAACGAGCTGAGCTACCAGGACAGGGCCTCAAACAAAAATTTAAAAAATAATAATTTTAAAAAGAGAGAGGCAGGCACATCTCACAAAATGGGACCTCTGAGGACTAAAGTTGGCTTCGGTCCCAGCTAAGAGGAGGCCCAAATCAGCCCACAAAGTCCCTCTGTCTCTCTGCTCTGCTTTCCTCTGGATGTGAGCTTCTGTATTCTATATTCATGTGTTTTAGTGGCAAAAACTGCCTCCCTCTTTCAGGGAAAAATACTGATTTACCCATCTTTGTAGCCTAGCACTGTGAAAGGGCACTATGATTATTCATTGATACATTTAAAAATGAATGCTCCAAAACTTGTTGGCTTAAAATACAAACATTGCCTTTATTTTCCCATGATTCTGCAATTTGGGCAAAGCATACGGGAGACAGCCCATCTCTGCTCCAGGTGACGTCAGCTTGAGGCAGCGCAGAGGGAGCTCAAGGATTCACTTCCGAGGGGGCCCCACTCCCACAAATAAGTTGGTGCTGGCTGTCGGCTGGAAGACACAGTTCTCTTTATGTGACTGCTCCGCACGGCTAGGTGGGGCTTCTCGGGCTATGGCCTCGCAGCCGTTAAACTTTGTACATCACAACTGACTTGAACTGACTTGCCCCCAAGCACAATGTGGAAGCTTCTAGTCTAGACACGGTCTTTTGTGCCACATTCTACTGATTAAAGATTGCAGGGCCCAGCCCGTATCTGAGCAGAGGAGACTGCGTCATGGTTCACTGGGACCAGGGTAGGATTCTACCACAGTGGATACTGGAGCTGTGTTGAGTGATGGCCCAAATGGGACCATGGGGAAAAGGGTAGGGACAGTCCCGCAAAGGAAAAGGGCTGGAACCAACCTCAGGTCTCCATAGCAGCCATTTCCTAGAGTGCTTGAGAGTGGTCCATGAAGCAAAACTGCCTTTCCCTCTAAGTATATTTACCATATAGTTTGTACATTTTCTAGGCTTAAAGAGCTAGTTAAAAATTTAGGTTTAAAGTTAAGGAATCTCAAACTTTTTCTCATTCAATTTCTCTTACATTATGAATGAAAATGATGATAATACATAGCAAACACTTCTGCAAAGGAATTAAATTGTGCAGAATTCATGATGGAGAAATAGCAGTGTGTCTAATCTAGTAATGTTTATTTGCAGGAACCTTTTACTCTGACAATTCCTTGGATATAGCAGTGAAATATTTCACTCTACATCTACGTTTTTGTGGTTTATATTTATTCTCCAAAGTACAGACTCCCAAAATGTCAAATTACTAGCATTGTTTTGTGGTAGTTAGCTCTAAGTTAGGATATTTGAAATGCATAAAATTAATTTTATCTCTTTAGCAAAGTACAATAAGATTTTGCACATTGACAAAGTTTTCTTTACAATATAAGCCATGCGTATGTTTATGGTGGACTCAAATTACTCTCCTTTGAATTTTATATTTAGTGAATGAACATGCACTATTGGGGATCAGGCAGGATTTAGGAAGTGTGTGTATAAGGATTATTTAAGATGGAATTGCCGAAGATCCTGGGATATGGAGAGCACACTTGTTGATCGATTTTAACTGCAGTAACTATGAAGCAATAACAACTCTATAAATTATTCAGAGACTAGTCGTCCATGTCAGGATTCTTTGGAGATTGTTTCAGAAAACTCTTTGGCAGAATATTCTTTTCATAGTTATTTTTCCCCCAATCCATGTGCAAAAGAGATATAGATCCATATGGAATAGATTAACACTGATTCTATTAAACTGAAATTAAATATTTTTAAACATTCAAGTGAAGATTGCATGATCTTTCCCACTGAAGCTCTCTTTGGTGATGTATTTATTTTAAATATTATTTTTGTCTTTCAGGAGGCCTTGTATAGTGAATGTAAGAGATTTATTAAAAACCTTGGATCCCTTGAGGGTGCTTTAGTATTTTGCCTCAAAATCTGCACATAGGCAAAATTCCTGGTATTATGAGTTGGATTTTTCAGTGTAAGAGGATTTAAAATCTCTGCTGAAGCAAGGGCTTGTTAGCTGTTTCTAAGCGTCATATATCAGAGAGACCCAGCTACTTAGCAATTGCTCCAATTGAAAGGGGGCAGGGCAGACACATGGAATAAAAGAGACCAATTTAGAGCAAGGGGACGGTACCAAATTCTCTTAAAATGGTCCTTTTATGCTAGAAAGATACCCTATCCAACCCCAGAAACGGACAGATGAGTAGTCAGCGTTGACTAGGTATGGATCTCCGTATGTGCAGATATGGTTCACTTTTTAAAGATTTCCGTTCATTAAGGCGGTTTGAGACACAGATTTAGAAAGAGTGTCTGGGTGTTTGCAGATTTGGAGTTAGAGACCCTAATTTTCTACTCACAAGTTATGTGACTTTAAAGCATTCCTAACAACCCTTCTTTTCTTTTCTTTTCTTTTCTTTTCTTTTCTTTTCTTTTCTTTTCTTTTCTCTTCTCTTCTCTTCTCTTCTCTTCTCTTCTCTTCTCTTCTCTTCTCTTTTCTTTTCTTTTCTTTTCTTTTCTTTCCTTTATAACCTTTTTGGGTCGCAGTCCCCCGCACTGTTGGGGTTGTTCTAAAGATCCAATGAGAGAATGCCAGAATCCTTCACACACTACAAAGCGCTACATTATTAGAATTTATATTATTGTGACGACTACTACTAAAGCATGACTGAAAACTAGCCTGTACACAATCCATTACGAAATCCGAGTGGGCTGGATGTGTTTTATTTTTGGAAAATATGTTCCCTTAGAGAACATACATGAGGTCCAAAGTAGTCAATGTGTTTGTCTTCATTCTCTTAAGACTACTACCCCTTTCACTGTTGACTTTCAAGAGGCACAAAATCTGGAGAGATGACCATACACTTTTTTTTCTGAATAGCTGAGGATTTTATTTTATAAACTATAACCCAGAAGGGTTGTGGCTGTTTATAAGGAGAAGCTGGCCTCCTGGCATGGTCTCTGGAGATGATTTTATCCGGTTGCACGTCTGGCGATGGTGTGGAGGGTGGGACCAGCGGATATTTTCATTGATTTTTTGCTGCTCTGTTTCCCTCCAGCGATCGGCAGGACCCTCATTCCCCGCTACTTCAGCACAGTGTTTGAGGGAGGGGTGACTGACCTGTACTACATCCTCAAGCACTCGAAGGAGTCCTACCACAACTCATCCATCACGGTGGACTGCGACCAGTGTGCGATGGTCACCCAGCACGGGAAGCCCATGTTTACCAAGGTGAGGGGCATCTGCGCCATGGCTTTTTCTCTCGGTGTATTTAAGGGAAATAAGAGAAGCTTTCTCCTGGAACTCGGAGCTGATAGCTCACACCTCAGACTCTTTCGGCACGGTCAGGTGATCTTTTTGGTTTGGGACATGGCTAGACTCTTGGTGAACACTGTTCTCAGTTGTGTGCATATGACATGGAGCACAGTCAAGCATGATAGAGCCTCCAAATTAAGGGTAAGAGGTTTGGCTGCCTATTAAACTCAGGCCTCTGAATCAGCATGTTGCTTTTTATATAAAGGATCTTCTACAGCTAAAAGAATGTTCTCCCATTGTTGGTCGCCTGATTCAGAGATACGCTCAGGTTTATCCAAAGACCACCCAGAATCACAGTTATCATCAGAATACTATTACCTGCTGAAGAAATTCTATATGTTACCAAAATTAAACACTTTTTAAAGCTAAATTCAATGTGAACCAACAGGACAAGGGAAGAATCCAACTAACCACAACTCGACTAACCATGACCTTTAAGGAACATAAAAATATAAAAGAAGTTAGGGAATTTGGAGCTTAAAGGTGGTTTCCCCAAATTCTAACAAGTTCTGCGACTGGTCAGTCAGCAAGTTGGCTATGAGAGAGAACATGAGAAACACGGGGGGCGGGGGGACAGATCAACCTTTGAGGAGGGATTCAAGGCCTGTGAAGGGTTCAAAATGAAAAAGAGAAAGCCCATCTTCTCTACATTCCTCACCTATGGCCTGTCCCGTGCACAGGGAGCTGCCGTATGGAGTACTCCCTCTGGGCAAAGACCTTTCTGGAACATTACAGACAGTCCCTCTATGTCTTCTCCAAAGTAGTAAAACCAGTAAGAGCAAATAGTCACAGAATCTGGCAAGCAGAAGCTTCTTTTCAATGAACACTTCTTCATTGCATTTTAACTAAGACTCAATGTGAAACTAACTTGTAGTATTAATGATAGTAGCTGTCTCTTCTCGTTGAAAACACAAGCGATAACCCTCTCTTTATAGTTAAGAGAAGTTGAATTATCAGGGTTAACTGCAGAAGCCCAAATGATAAAACGGAAGACGTGTCTGTTATTTGCGCACAATATGCCGAAAAAATACAAATGTTTATTGTTTAAAGTAGTCTCTGATCTTGTTGATGCAGTTTAATCTCTCTGCTGCCCACGATTGTGTATAAAAAAACAAAGGCAAAGGAAAAGGTCATAAAATGCAAAGGCACATCGTGAAATGCCACAAATTATATGGTCTCTTGACTTGGTCAAGAGACATTTTAAACGTAGGGCAGGAGCTGGTTTTCTCTTTCTTCCTCTGACAATGGAGCAGAGAGGAAGGCTGTCATTCAGACACAAAGAATCCCCCCCGTGTGCAGAAGCTGGTGCTGGGAAGAGAGTTGTGCTCTGTGGAAAGGAATGATTGCTGGGATGATGATTTAATTTGTCTGCGTCTCATTTCATTTTGGAGTCATAACACATTTCCATCCTCTTGTAGATCAGATGGATACACAGTCCATTTCTAGGGCTACAAAGCCTGGGCTCTGCAGAGAAAGCCCGTCTCTGCTGCTTCATTATCATCATCATTATTTATTATTATTATTATTATTATTATTATTATTATTATTATTATTATTATTAAGGCTTAGTGTTACTTTTAGGTAATTCAAGAAAAGCACACAAATCCCTTATGCTTTAAGGGGGAAAAAATCCATGGTGATTAAATAAAACTTTTGCCATAATGAAGGAGCTACTTACAAATCCTGTGGCCATTGATAGGAAACTGTATCTTGTGGTTGTCCCTTTATATATTTCCTCAATCTCTTTCTCACACCATCTATTGTATAAATGACAATAGTCAGTTGCTCTGAAGATGTAGTGCTGTCTACTCAGGGCTGGTTTGAAATAGGAAAGAATCCCATTCTCCTGTTGAACTGATAAAGGGCTTTTTTTATTCCAGTGAAGAAATTGGGGTTTTCTCTATTGCACCCTTCCTTGTTGGGGAATGCCCTGCCGCAGATGGCAGGGTCAGTGTCCAGGCATCCAGGGCACCCCCCAGGAAGGCTGCACATTCTGGCCTCAAGCTTCAATTCTTTCTTTCTTCCTTTCTTTCTTTCTATTTTTAAAATATGGTTTTATTGAATTCAGAGAGAGGAAGGGAGAGGGAGAGAGAGATAGAAACATCGATGTGAGAGAAATACCAATTGGCTGCCTTCTGCACATCCCCTACTGAGGACTGAGCCCACAACCCACCAGGAATTGAACCAGTGACCTCCCGGTGCACAGAACGATGCTCAGCCAACTGAGCCGCACCAGCAGGGCCACCTCCAATTCTTTAGATCACCCATCTGACTCCTCCATGGCAATACAGTCTGCCAACTCTCATAATGAATATTTCTACACTGTGATGAAAAATATTACTTTCTGGGAAATATAGCTTAGCTATGTGGACTTAGTCCAGATGCTAATTATGCACATTTATTTTTAGAAAATTTGAAAGTGTTCTCTTTTTTTGCTCCTTAGTGATTATTATACAACCCAAAGAATCGTTCCCATTTTTCTTTTGTTCTTATATTAATTAAAAATAGCTCATCTCCGTGTAAGAAAGTAATCAGGCTATTTAGTATAAAACAGTGGGTTAATGAACTTTCAGTGTCACAGAGAGAAATAGTTTGAGACCTATGCTTTGTTTCCCAGGGGGGTGGGCAGCTATTAGTACATGGCATTTCTTAGCACATCGCTCTAATTTAGACAATCAATAAACTCGAATTCCCCAATTGGCATTTGAGCCAGTGGTTCTGAGTCGCTTTTATGAAAATTTGGTCAACTGGTGAATCAAAACTCAGCCGCAGTCCTAATCAACCGTAATACTTAATATTCCTCAGGAGCGCAGTACATGTTTTGCAATTTCCTGATCCTAGCAACATTATAGATTATGGATAAATATGTAATTAGAGTTTTAAAACACACATTAGGAAGCCTTTCTTTTCTATATTCAATTTCAAATCAAATAGAAAACAAGGCTTCATAATCAGAGGAGCAATCACCAAGGTTTTTGGCATCATAGACTCTCAAATTGTATTTGAGGGTGGGAATACTGGCGGATGCCGAGATGAGTCCTCCCTGGGGTACATGTTGGCTGACTTTTAGGTATCACAAACTAGAAAAATAATCCCAGCCACTAACGGACACCTTTGTCCCTTCTATAAACACAGGTTTATTTTTTTTCTGGCCTCAATTATTTATGATGAAATGATTTACTACAATAGCCGGGTATCGTGGCAGTGCACCTGCCAGTTTCCTACGTGAGCGCTCACTCTTGTCTTTGACAGTTAGCTCATCGCTCTCACCTGAGCATGTGACACCACGTGCTATTCCTACTCTTGTCCTAACTAACCAAATTATTGCACGACCAACAACCATATTGCTCTAATATATGTATAGACATGCACTTACATGTACAGTATCTCTAAGGAAAATACAATGAGCACTATGCAACTGTTCATCTAAAAGCACCAGGTGAACCCGTAGAAATATGGGGAGAGTGGAGCTCTCAGGGCATGGAAACTCCTCGCCNATGGGGAGAGTGGAGCTCTCAGGGTATGGAAACTCCTCGCCCCTCCCACATAGTCCCCCCTCTGCATCCCTTCCATCTGGCTGTTTCTGAGTTGTGTCATTTTATAATAAGCTAGTAATCTAGTAACTAAAATAATAATAATAATAATAATAATAATAATAATAATAATAGCAACACTATTTCATGCATTCTGTTCCAGGCATAAAGACCAAGACAATTAAACAAACACACCTAAAAAAACACATTTTATTTCACAAAAGCTCGGTGAGAACTGTATTATACGTGTAACTACATGGCCCATAGTGCCTCACAATTAGTCAGAGAGCGAAGGGTTAAAAAGCTGCCGGTTAGTTTGAGAAACGCTCTCTGCCGGTCCCTGGTCCCTGGCCTAGTCCCACTGGCACGTGACGTGCTGAATGCCTGCCAGCCCCTTTCTTGTTGATCCTCTGGAGACCATCTGTNGCAATTAAACAAACACACCTAAAAAACACATTTTATTTCATAAAAGCTCGGTGAGAACTGTATTATACGTGTAACTACACGGCCCATAGTGCCTCACAATTAGTCAGAAAGCGAAGGGTTAAAAAGCTGCCGGTTAGTTTGAGAAACGGTCTCTGCCGGTCCCTGGTCCCTGGCCTAGTCCCGCTGGCACGTGACGCGCTGAATGCCTGCCAGCCCCTTTCTTGTTGATCCTCTGGAGACCATCTGTGCTGGGGGCATTGATTAGAGTGTGTCTGCTGGGATTACATCTTTTCTGTTGCCATGCCAACTAATCAGCTGATTTTGGTTACCACAGAAACAAAATGTCAGAGCTCATGGTACGGTAACATGAATTCAGCACAACAGAAAATGTTTTCTTAATTGGGGACCCTTTTGATTTTGGATTCCAAGTGAAAGGCTGTTTTCAAAAAAAAAAAAAAAAAAAAGGAACTTTAGATAAAAGCTACATTAATTGTATTGATTAAGAGGAATGCAGAGAATTTTTCTGAAGAGAGAAAACGTTTATTTCCCTGTATAAGCTATGCCCGTTTTTTACCATTTCCAAACAAGGAATATATATATAGTCCCCAAAAAATGTATATACACTTTTTTCTGATAGCCCAATTGATGTTTCTTTATTTTCAGGTTTAACCCACTGGAATTAATAACCGAAGTGTGTATACATTTTTTGAGACACCCTATGTATTAAGTGCCTCTGTTCCATTTGCTGATGGTTGCATATAAAATAAACCACGAAGACTTCAATTTCTTTTAACTTCCAAGATGAGGGCAGGGGCGGAGTGGCTTCATGGGCACACTTTCCTGGGGAGGACCAGCAGTGACCAAATTCTCCTCCAGCCTTTCCTTTACAAAAACGCCCAACACAGGCAACTCAGATTCTGTTCCAGGGACTGTGCTCCTGCTCCTGAGCTGCCCTGGGTAAAGCTGGCTCCTTGGTTTGGGCTGGGAAAGGAGGAGCCCAAGGCTCGATGCAACTGTCCCTTTTGTAGCCCCCAAGACAGTTTGACCGCAAGAAGTGTCCTCAACCAGTGTGCCATCTCACAGAAAACAAAGGACACAGTTTAACTGGACCTTACAGATGCTCTAATCCAGTCAGTCATCTGAAGGACCCCATCCAGGCCTCCCCATTATGCCATTCTATTCCAGTCGAGGTGAACCAGAACCTCCTTCTGCTCTGGGTCTCTGGTTTATAAAACAAATAGATTAGATAAATTAGAAGCATGTCGTTGAACTGGGCTAATATTTATTTAAACATCCAATAATCCTCTCTCTTAAAAGAAATCAAAACAGGATTATAGCATCCAGATATTTCTGTCCTGTATTGTCAAGGTATTTCCCTGTCACTGGTTGGCTGTAGTTACCCCCGTTTTGTGGAAACCTTCACTGTAGGTGGCTGCTGTTATGCTAACACCCAGAGGGAATTGTGTGGCTTAATCTCCATGCAGCTCTTCGGAAACCCTTGGTAAATTAATTCCAATGCTAAGATGCTCTAGAGGAGTGGTTCGGGGACACTAAAGTCTTCCCCATTTTCGGGTGCTCCACTGTCATGGCCAAAATCAGGAGCAAGGCTCTGAAGATCACTCAACTGAGGAGTGTGGGGGCAAGGTGCCCACATGCCTGAAATTACCCACAGATTCTGCTAATTGGATTTGAGTTAGAGGTCTTCACCCAGATTATCGATAATTATCTTACAGTGCTTCTGAGACCTCTGATAAAATGAAAATGGCAGGCATTAATAGCTTCTTTCTTAAGTAGCACCCTATCCACTCATGTTACTAATTCTCCCTGTAGCTGGCTTAAAGAAAACACTGCATTAAATTAGAGTCAACAGAAAGCGCCTAACCCAGTGCCTAGGATATCATTGGAACTCAATATGGTGGCCTTTTGTATTAAATTCCCAGAGGGAAAATGAGTATTAATATTTCATAAAAGGTTGATAAAAATTGCTAATTATCTTCATGGGCTATAGTTTTAGAAATGATCATATCCCCTATTGAGTTTATTGTTATTTATGTTTTTTTAAATTGTATAGTACAGTGATTTCCAAAGTTTTGTGTTTGTTTTTAGCATAGGAAACCTTTCTCCAAAAAAGCTTGGTCAGAAGCCCAATGTATTAAAACAACTAGAACTGAGGTTGATCTGGCGGAATCTAGAAGGTGGGAAGGGACCTCAGAATCCAGGTGGAGGCCAAGCTCTTCCCAGCAGAGCCCCCGAGACACCTCTACTGAATCCTTAGGTCTCAAGTAACACGACTGCTCTACAATTCTGTGTTGTTCACTTGTGTTTCTTTTATCTGTGGAGCTGTTAATGTACTGTCAGCCTATTATGTGCTCAGTGCAATGCTAGGCAACCTACATACAAAATTTCCTTTAATATATCTTTCCAGCAACCCTGCCTGAAGATACTTTTATTCTCATTTTACAGATGAGGAAACTGGAACTTAGAGAATTTGACGTTCCCAAAGTTTCAAAATGAGTGAAAAATAGAGTCAGGACTCAAATCCAGTACTTTGTGATGCCAAAGCCTCCATCCACTATTCGGTACTCCTTCTCCGAGGCCGGCATGGACTGGATGATGAGTTGTAATGATTTAAACTGGACCAACGTGCGACCACCACTGCCTGTCTTATAGTCAAAATAGGCTGAGTAGTGTGAGTGCCTAGTGTTTTCTTCCATTTAAGTCATTAACAGTGAAAAAAAAAGGTAAATAAAATAGGAACTCCATGCGAAAAATGACCTGAATCTCAAAAGATTAAAAAGCTCCCCTATAACTAATCAGTCTATCAAGGAAGAGAGCCTCAGAAATTCTTTTTTATTAATAATACATATATATTTTTCTTAGAAAGATAAATTTGCCACCCATCCCCCCAAAAGGCTGGCCCCTTATGCAAGCAGAATTTGTCATTGCTGATATGATGCGATTTAAGGAATATTCTCTAAATATGCCTCTAACTTCCACACGTCAGTAACTGGTACCCACATCCTTGGGTTAAGCATCGCCCTCTGGAACTTCTCTTTGGAAGTGAGAACCTCTGGTTGAGTAATCTTATAGTATCTCACACTTCAACATGAATTAATTTTGTTAGATACTTTCTCCCAAAATAGGATTAACTAAAATTAAAACAATAACTCAAGCTTCTATCATCAAAGGGTCATGAAAATGGAAAAAAAGTTGGTAGGAGGATGCTGTTTTGTGGGGTCCATACTCTATGCCACAAGTTTAGGACCTAATCTTGCTGTAGGGTGGGTTTTGTGCCCATATTTTCAAGTGAAGAAATAGAGGCTCACAGAGTTTCATTAGTAACTAGCAGGGTCACTAACAAACCCTGGCCAGTAAGCAGCTGCACTGCCTTTGGAGCCCACTGACTCTTGAGCTTGTACCTGTCTCAATATGCTGTGGATAAGCCACTTGCGTCCCATTTTGTCAAGATCCAGAGCCACCCAGATGGTAAGGGAGACCGTGTTGAGTCGCTGACGTGTGAGTCACAAAGTGCACAACCAATGAGTGTGTCGTTTGTCGCTTCTAGGTGTGTACAGAAGGCAGACTGATCCTGGAGTTCACCTTCGACGATCTCATGAGAATAAAAACCTGGCACTTTACCATTAGACAGTACCGAGAGCTGGTCCCACGCAGCATCCTCGCCATGCACGTAAGCGCCGACCTTTCTCCTTCGCTCCCTCCTGTTCCCCTCTCTATCCAGGGCCAAAGCACAACTTCCCTGCGAAGAGCTCCTGCAGTCTTCACACTGCGCATGATCAACTCCAATGCCCAGTCTCTCCCTCACCATTTTAATCCACAGGCCCATTTCCTCCTCCTCTGTTTCGAGTGTGGTGAATTCTGGGCCTTTTTTTATTTTGATACTTTATTATTTGAAACTCTAAATCGAGGTTACCCTAGGAAACAGCTTGTACTTTTCTTTAATTCCTTCAATCATTATCCAGTACTGCTCTGCCTGGGCCAATAAACCTATTTGTAACTGGGGGAAGAAATCAAACAAAAAGAAATAAAAACAGTTTCCAGTTTTGATTAGAACCATCCGAGGAGACAGGGGCACATGGGCCTCAGATCTGTCAACAGAAGTTGGCCCTTTCTGACCAGTGTTGGAATGAGCTGGAATGTTTGGGGTTCCCTTGGTTTCCACTGGACATAAATCACATCAGATTAACTGAACACCATCTAGATGCAAGGGTGGATTCAGTGCCAATCTAGAGATATGTTTTAAAGGGAAGACTCGATGGGAACTACGCAGGTACAGTCCCTGAAAAATGTTTGGAGCAAACTGAGCCTTAATGAGCCTGATTTTTAAGACCCAATATAATCAAAAGCGAATAAGATAACAGTAGCTGGCATTTGTTGGGTGTTTCCTATGCCAGGCCTGTGCTAAACAGTGTATGACCATTATAATTAATCCCCAGAGTAACTTAGAGAGGTGAGTTATCATTTATTATTCCTGTTGTAGAAGTGAGGAGACTGAGGCTCCGAGTTCAATCAGTTGCCCCATGATTTTCAGTCTAAAAGTGGCAAAATCAAGGTTTCAGCTCAGCTGGTTCCAACTCCCAAACCTAGACTGATAAGCCAACTGTCTCCTAACTACCCCACTCCAGGCCATCATCTCTCCTGGCTTTTGTCTCCAACCCTCTCCTCTGGACTGCGTAACCCAGTCTCTGCCCTTGGCCTTTCTTCTGTGGCCACTCTAAGCCCCCTACTCTCCTGCTCCATTGCTTCTGCCTCTCCGTGGCCCGAGTGTTTCTCAGTTTTCAAAGCCCAGTTCACATCCTCTACTCTCCTTGAAGCAGCCTAGAGTAGCCACTGTTATTATTCTCAAAAGAGACTGAGGGTAGTGGTCGGGAACCTGGCCCTGGAATGAGACCACATAGGTTTGTATCCCTGCTCCTGTGCGACCTTGGCCAAGGGACATGACATCTCTGTGCTTCCAGTCCCTCATCTATAAAATCAGTACAGTCACAGAGCCTACCTCAGAGGATTGGTCTGAGAACTAAGAGTTCACGCATCTAAAGAACATAGAACAGTGCCTGGCACATAGTAGGTCCTCTGTAAGTATGGCGATTGGCTTGTAGCAGCAGCTACCACATCCTTCCCCTTGTTTACAGTTGTCCTGTTGTCCAGCTACAGTGTAAGCTCCTTGAGGTCGAGCACAACTACCTGATGCATCTCTATATAGAACCAGCTCTTCCTGGCACGCGGGAGGTTCAATAAATACTGGCCGCATGTCCTGAGAGGACCCCCTTTCCAGAAACCGATATGAAAAGTGACACATTCTGTTGTCTCCTACATTTTGTCTTTTTATTTATATACAGAGAGCCAATTGGTTTTGTCACTGTGAGGAAAGTCTTCAGAAAAGACTAAATTAAAGTGTTAGGATAACCTAGACAGTCTCATGAATCAGACACGGAGATAAAGGGATAGTTACTTAAGTCTCCCTCTGTTTAGCACCATTCTGCTCAGACCAGTTAAGAAAGAAGGAAGATAAACAGAAAGAAAAACATCAACCAAGAGATTCATCTTAAAATGATATCCAGGAAGAATTTTCCTTTTTTTCTAACCAAACAGAACATTTGAGGTGGCCCGTGAAGGTTAGTTACATCCCTCTTTAAATGGGGCTGAAGTTTGGGAAGAGGTCGTGCTTACCCTGCGGTCCTGCGGGATGACATTGTTGAGGACGTCTAATCTAGCCTCAGCTGAATGGGGAGGAGAGTTCGAGTTCGAGTTCGAGTTCTTAAATATAAATATGTATATTTATTTTATACACAAATTTATTTTATACGTATGCCATGGCAGTTACAAAGTTTTCAAATGTAGTCCTCAACTCCACGCTGTTAAAACACGATCACAACAGGAAACAGAGGCTCCTCCTAAAGCAGGGCTCTCCCCAGGGCAGAGGCTGCACCCTTTCTGATGGGTGCCGGAGACCTAGAGGTGCCCTGGCAGCTCTTAACCACCCTCCTCCTGAAGACTCGGGGCCTCTCGAGGAGCAAGCAAAGTTGTTTCTCCCAAGGACTGAAAGCACATCTGACTCTGTTTGACTCTCCCTGGCCGCAGGTCCCACGCCATTGATCCACAAGTGTCCTTGAGCCTTACATGCACGTGTCTTAAAATGTAAATTAAATTATCTCCAGCAACCTGGCCCTCTGAGGAAAATCAACAGTGTCAAGATTGCATTTCTCAGCAGCTGTAGGACAGTCTGAGACTCTCTTGAGATCCTCTTGCAGGCATAAAATATACGATTTTTTTCCCCCTGTTTAGGCACAAGATCCTCAGGTCCTGGATCAGCTGTCCAAAAACATCACCAGGATGGGGCTAACAAATTTCACCCTCAACTACCTCAGGGTAAGACCAATGCAATGCTTATATTTCCTGGTGAGTCTGAAAAGTCCTCAAGAGGTTGATATGTCTCTTGAACCAAGGAGGTAGACGGAGGTAATATAGCACTGTGTGTGTGTGTGTGTGTGTGTGTGTGTGTGTGTGATCAACGGAGGAAGGAACTTAATTAACAAGCACCAAACCTAGACTGCGTCGGGGCTGAGCTTCCTCTGTGCATTTCTATCATTCCTGGAATGAATTATTCAGGGGCTGGCAATGTTTGTCATCAAATGCTTTGGTACTGTGTCCCTTTTGGTTGTCCCAAGTTTCTAATGTGGAGTTCACGGCTTCTGTGTCTCTGCCCAGGAATCCGTCACCCCCGGGGAGACTCAGTGTGCCCTCTGGAGGGTCCCTGAAGAAATTCCAACCAGTGCTGTACCACAGACACACATTTCTAAGGCTTCTTAGGGACCATCTGTGTGACATGTAACAGATTTTCTGGTTTGAATATAAAGTCAGTTTTTATTTAAAAAAATTAATGTTAGGCAAACTTTCTCTAAGTATATAATACTTATGCCTCCTTATATGGTCTACCTAACAGGGTAACATACGTCCCAGCGGTGTTTAGTGGATTGCACTTGTCCCCTTGTAGGAAGGGGATTTGGTTTCCTTCATAAAGCAAGCATTGGCCCCTAGAAGGAACCAGAAGGCAGTGGCCGTGGCCCACACTCCCCTGCGTCTGAGGCGCCGAGTTCCTTTATTACCATGTGTAACGTTCATTTCCCCAGGGCACCCACCCCACCCTGAAGCCTGTGCTATCACTTCTTCACCCTTAAGCACTCCACAGGTTAGGAGATGTGTTTTGTATTCACGATCATTTTTGCCTATGTTGAAATGCTGGCATGGTTTGGCCAGACTTTTCTTCCAGTTAAGAGTGATTTTGACAAATGGTTTCAACTCATGCGCTCGTTGCCATGTGCCAGGTGCCAGGCTAGATGCTGAAGACTCAAAGGTCATGGCCTCGGCCGTCAGGAAGCTCACTCTCGTGAAGGTCAGACTCATAAGCAGAGAACATTTGTACAATATGGTAAATACCATGATAGAGGTGTCCAGATGGAATCGTGGAAATACAAAACAGAGACATCTCAGAAGAGCCAGAGAAGGCCTCCTGGAGGAGATGGTGCCTGTTCTGAGTGTGGAGGAATAAATAAAGGCAAACCAGAGGAAAGGGCAGGAGGCCATTTCCACCAGAGGGAAGCGAAGGAGCATGGATTTGGGGCTGGAGTTCCAAGCAGTTTCATGATGCTGGGACATGAAGTGAGAGGCCAGGACAGGCAGGAGAGCTAGTTGGGAGTCAGGTCTTGGAGCAACTGGCTGGTCGGGCTACTGGGCTAGGAGCCTCTGAAAGGATTAAATATGAGGATGGCAGGGTCCTCTTCCTGGGTGGAGGGAGAGGACACCTTTGCTATCCAGCCCAGGTGCCCCAGAGCCAAACCCAAGCATGGCAGGAGCCAGTCAGCTTCGCTCCCCCACCTCACTTCAGTACCCTCGCGGTTTTGACAGACCCAAACCAGGTTGCTCTCAGAGGGAAACCAAAGTCTGCCCAGGGGAGAGGGGCTGCAGGTAAGTGCTCCCAGCCTGGATAGCTGGGGCTATGTTCTCCCAAAGCTGTAGGCTCTGCATTCAGACCTGACTTCAGGGCCAGACCAATGAGAGTATGTATCTGAGGACAGCCGCTTGCTAGCTGTGTGACCCTGGACAAGTTACTTGACCTCTTTGAGCCTCAACTTCCTTATCTGGGAAATGGGGTATTACACACCCTCTCACTGGATTCTAGTGAGATAAATACATGGGAAGGTCCCACCTCTCTGTTGCTAAGGGCCACTGGGTAGAACTGAGTGGCTCATTGGGTTTCTCAGTGTTCAGAGCTTATGAGAAGGGCGCCTATGGGTCGGCACACCCAGGAACAGGACCCTTCTTAATTTTCACCTTCACTTCACCAACGTGAAAGCCTTTCCAAGTCGAGGTTTGAAATGGCCATCACTTCCAATTTCTTGTCTGCAGTTTTCATCTGTGAATGTTGACTGTTTGCAGTAACTTTTCATTCAATGACTTTAAATAATAAGATGTTTAAATCGAAAAGAAATAATGGCTGTCTATTTCATTTCACATCCCACAAAGATGAGAGGGTGGGCCCTGCGGAAATCAGGTCCTTAAGCATTTAAAGGAAGCCTGCACGAACCTCCGGGATGGCCATGAGAACAGTGTGCCAGCTCCACCCTCTCCCATCAGCAATAGTGGTAACCAATCCTCGCGTGCTCGACACTCTTTGTGGGCACCCCTGACCCATACAGCAGCCTGCCTCTTTGAGGATTTGGGGTAGTCTGGATTTATTTTAAATTTTAAGTCAATCTTCTAACCCAGAGACACTTTGGCCACATCTACTTTGTGCCACACACAAAAGCAGGGTGTTTACGAAAATGGATAAGGCGTTTTCCCTTTCCCAAGGAGCCGAAGATGTTCTTACAAGTAGGTCTGCTTCCGGTTCACACTGTCCGGCCTCAGCTGGGGACTTACGCCCAGAAATTTCTCCTTTCCTATTATCCAAGAGGATACCCCATGGTCTCAGCGGGTGACTTAAATTGGACTGTTTCTGGTTTCCAGGGCACTAGGTCCTCTCCGATCCAGCCTCTGCTGCGTCCCAGCCTCGCCCCACATCCCTTCTCCATCTCACCTGTCATCCTAGGGCCACACGACCCCTTGCAGTTCCCCAGACTTGTCATGCTTTGTTGGCTTCATGCCTTCTTGCAGTAAGACTCTGCCTGGAACACGGTTCCTCCCCTTCTTTGCCATCTGGTTTTTCCAGGCTACCTCCTTCCCAACCTTCGGGCCCCTGGCCCATCACCTCTTCTGAGAATCTCTGACACTCCGCTGGGGCACTGCCCGCCCAGCGCTCCTGGGCCTACGCTTAGCTCTTGGTAGATCCTCTATAAGAACTGTCACTCCACTCGTCTGTCTCCTGCACTTGACTCGGAGCAACCTGAGGACAGATCGATAACTTCACATTTCTCGAGCCTCACAAGGTCCAGATCACAATAAGCACCAGTAAACCTCACTTGAACGGATGGCTGGTGGGTGGAGTTTGTAAATGGAAGACTAGATTTTAAATGAGACCAAAAACCAAAGCAAAACAAAACAAAATGCAATAGAACTACAACTTTCTTAGTGGGTGATTATTTTTGTCTATTTTATTTAACCAGATTTTCTTGATGCTGGGATACATAACCTTTTTTTTAAAAAAAAAATATGTCTTTATTGATTTCAGAGAGAGGAAGGGAGAGGGAGAGAGAGAGAAACATCAATGATGGGAGTCATTGATCGGCTGCCTCCTGCATGTCCCCGGCTGGGGATCAAGCCCGCAACCCGGGCATGTGCCCTCACCTGGAATCAAACTGCAATCTCCTGGATCCTAGGTTGATGCTCAACAGCTGAGCCACGCTGGCCAGGCTATGTAAACGTTTTTATGCATTATGTTTAACGTGACTTTAAAGCACCTTATCCTGTATCCCAACCAGAAGACATTGTCTGTGCTCCCTCTTACCCTTTACCCTGCATATGCATAGTATCCGCATTAATATAATCAGTATACATGCATTTTCTTAATGTTATTTGGTAAACACTTTTGCATGTTTCTACATAGCCATGCTATTAGCCATCTATAATAGCTGCAAAATATTCCAGTGCGGTGCTGTGACTGTTTATTTAATCTTTTCTCTAAGTGTCGAGCGCTGAAGTGATGTTCAGTTGGCCGCAGTCATGAATCCCTTTCCTCTAAGCACTTTGCCGTGTCCTGCCCCAGGCGGTATCCTCTGCAAGCAGACACTGAGCTCTGGGGCACGTGTTAAGGAAAATAACTAGCGTGCTGTGGACTCAGAGGATTGCGGATTCAAATCCAATCCTCCTTGCTATTCATAGGGGCCTTGAGCAAGTCATTTCTTCTCTGAATCCCCCTCTCTTTATCTGAATATTGGGAGGAATGGTGTTCCACAGGTTGGCGCAATTTATAAGATGAGATGAGTTAGAATTTATAAGACCCTGGCACACAGAAGGAGCATGCTAACTACTAGTCCACTCCTGTGCTGTGTGAGAGCAGATCAGAGTTCAACTCTCCCTTTCGCAACTTCTTATATAATATTGATCAATTGCCTTAATTTCTTGGAGCCCCTGTTTTTTCATATACGAGTGATTATGCGCATTGGGAATCGTGGTAAGTGCATCACATGTGAAAGTCAGAATGATAATGCATGTGAAGAACACATTTAAGCCTAAATTGCGACAACAGGAAGCCAAGTCAGTCTCATCTCACTTGTCATACATTGGTCATGGCCTTGGATTCTTCACTGAGATGCTGAAGCCATGTGATAGATCAGAAAAGAGAGAAGCCAGTGATTAATGGGATCTGCCAAGTAGGGTAACAGGAGGAAGTCTGGGACACGTGCGTATATTTGACACCTTTTCCCAACATAAATGCTATTATAAATGTAGAATCATTACCACTGAGTGTTTTCAATATTATCCATAAGCTTTTTGTTGTTGTTATTGTTAAATAAGTTCAGGTCTTCAAGTAAGCAGCAGCATCTATTGGGCTTGAAAACATTTAGGTTTCACAGTAATGTTTTTTGATCCTGTACCTTTAATTTCCCAAGTGAAGGAAGATTTTTTTGTTGTTGTTGTTATTCCTACACTTTTGTTGTTGTTGTTATTGCTATACTTTAAAGATCATTGGTCCCTGCACGTAGCTCCCACTGAGCAAAGTCGTATAGCCCAGTGCCTGGAAGACCTGGGCAATTAGCTGTGAAAAATGCACCCCACCCCCCGTATGAAGTGAAGTGGCCTCTGGGAGGATGAGTGTGGCTGGGGTCGGCATTTGGAATCCTGCGAGGTGTTTCCATTTTTTATTTTTGTAAGGTTTTGACTACCAGCCAAGATATTTTCCTTGGTCTTAAGCATGAGAAGGGATTACAACG